ATATATATATATATATATATATATATATATATATATATATATATATATATATATATATAAAATTATGATAAAATAGGTGATGCAATTGTATTTAATAAAAATAAGCGTGTATGAAATATTTGTATATGGGTGTAAAGTACGATTGTTGTACGATTGCATAGGTGAACACACGAACGTGTGTGTGTGCTTATAAAATATTTTAAGAATTATTCCTACTCCGCAAACTAAAATGAATGTTAGAGAGAGAGAATGTACGGTAAAGCAACACGAGAATTTTAAGATTCGTGTAAGTTAATGTATTATATATTTAATTTAATAACGTTGATTCATTTTAATCAAAATATAGTAATGCAAAAAAAAGTTGCGAAACTGTTGATACTTATACCTGTCGCCTTTGTGCACGATTTGTCCGAGAACGAAACTGAATTTTGTAAAATTCGTCGAGAGATAATTTAACGTGTTCTTTTCTCGAGATGTTAATTCAATGCATCATTTTTTCATTGTCATATAAATTTTTGTTGTCAATTTTCATTATCAGTCTTTTTCTTTCACGCTGTGGTTTGTATCTGTGGAAACGAGACGTTCATCTTCCCGAGTTACCGAAGTTCCCATTTCTCGACGGCCCTGTCGCGGGTCGATAGAGCCTCTCACTCTCTCTCCCGCTCGCACATTGCGCGTTCTCGCGTACGGTGAGGAGAGAGGTGAGGCGTCCGTAGGACGGGAGATCGCGAGTTCTGTCAGTGGCCTCTCGGACACGAAGGTGTCGTAAGCGGAGATCGTCCACGGGAACGTGCGTCTCTCCGTCTCTCTGTCTCTTCCCGCCTAGACGTGACACGTCTCTGTCGCGCGCACGGAGATCCGCCGCACGGTAATTGATTTCATCGAGAGAGCGTGGATCATCGTCGTCGCTCGTGGTCGTTTAATACTTTAAGTGCACGGAAAAAAGATCGCGCAGTGAACGAGGCTGATGAAGAGTACGCGCGCACACCCTGCTCCGTCCGGACTGTGCCCCGGCGGCTACCCCTCACGTCGTTTCGTGACGTTCGCGTTGCGTTTACATGCTGTGATACCGCGAGAAAACGTCAAACTATACGGTCGATCGGCTCTCTCGATTGAACGCGCCTTCTCCCGAACGGAAAAGACGCTTTTCACCCGCTTTTACTCGCTTTATCCTCGTTCCGCGTTGCCGCGGTTCACCAACTCCGACTTCCCCAGCTGTTCCTCTCCTTGAGAGAGAGAGAGAGAGAGCCTATCGTTTGGCGTGTGGTTTCGCGTCAAGAAACGAGCATGACACGACGAATCGTGGTATTATATACGTACACATGTGTACGGCGGTACATAGGATGTCATCTTCGCTCGAATTAATCGAAACATTAGCGCGAGCGCTTCATCCCCTCGTGAAAGTTCAAGCGGCACTTTAATGACGATTCATCGGTCTTCTGTTATCGCTTGGTTTCGCTTGGTTTCTTTCGCACAGAGGTGAACAAGGTTTGTTTGCGTCTTGTCTTGTCTTTCGCACTCTTTTCTCGCGGGAAAAATAATAATAAATTCATCGACGGATTTGAGAACTAATCCTGGCAGATATTCATTCGAACTATCATCTCAGCTTTAAAATTAAATATCTTCTCGCTGCAGACTCGTCGGGATCGATCTTTCTTGAGGAGAAATGTCGACACACCTATGGTTTTCGTATTTTTTATGATTGGAAGTAAGAGGAAAGAGTTCCCGATAAAGTAAACTCCGAAGAAAAACGATAGATGAGACAATGATGTTATTCGATCATGTTTTTGAAGTATGCTCTTAATTTAAAATTTTTATTTAGATTAAATTACCGGGTGGAAAATGTTGTGAACTGTGTTGGATAAATCCAATTTTAATTTAAAATTTGATTACGAGATGTACGGTGTTGGAAATTGAAAAGATAAGAGTAATCATCTTCCTCGATATTCTAGTTAAATCGCGTTTAAATTTTAGTCAAGTAAACCGCGGCTAAAACGATTAAACTCCAAATGATCCCGGAATACACCTACACGGCAGATCAGGTGATGTAACCTTTGTCAAAGTTCATGAGAATACGTAAAGTGAAAGAGATATATAGTACTTAATGTCAGGCTTTAGATTAAAATAGGAGACGGACTACGTGTAAAGAACAAAAAGATCAAAAGAATACGTCGATAGTAATTTGTCCCCTGTGAGCCGAAACACGCGATTGTTTGTTAATGCTAATTGTTAATTCTCATTTATCATAGTATCAGATTCTATGTGTTCCTCGAGATCATTCTCGTATTTTTAATGACAATCGATGCTAATCCTTCATTAAAATCACTGGTAAAATCGGAGATTTATTGAAAATTGTGTTCAAGTCATCTGTGGACATTGGCATGAGGCATTAATAATGCGACACTCCTAAAAAGATGATATTTTATAACTTTCATACACAAGATAGTGTGCAAAAGTTGTAAAATATGCAGGGTTTTCTAGATATTTCATATTTTCTATAGAATCTCTCTTTCTCTCTCTCTTCTCCTGCCTCCCCCCCCCCC